GGTATCGGTGGACATTTTGGACTAGAAGAATAGAGTACTTCGCCATAGAAAAATTTTCTTTGTCAAGGTCTTATGGTAGAATCACGGAAGGGACGAGGCCATTTGAGAGCTAGAATCGAACTTTAGAGTCCAGTACCCCCAACTGTTGACTAGTGAGAGGGTGACAAATTTTTGGGACCAAATTTCTTCTTAAGGGGGGAGGGGAATTGTAGCACCTGGGCTCGAAAATTTAGCCCGGGATAATTTTACAATTAATAAAATTATACATTTTAATAATTTAATCTTATTTTATTTTAAATTTTGTGAAGTTTTTTAGAAAAATAAAAATAAGGACGAAATTGAAAATAATTCTAGGAAAAAAAGTTGAAACTGTAAATAAGGATGATGTTTTTGAAAGAAAATTTAAAAACAATGGGTAAAATCGTAAAAAAGAGAAATACAACCATGTGGGACGGCTACGTGGGACTGCCACATCAGCAACAATGGCGACTCAGAACATGTTGCGTGGCAGACACACTAACACTGATTCCACGCGGGGAATCTGCATGCCTACGAATCCAACGCCCTAGATCGCATCACATGCACACAAATGACCCAGATGCATTTCCCCTACAAGCATGATTGGATGGTTAGATTCAATCCGATCATACGGCTCATATTTATTTCTTGAATAAGAGGAATCCAACGAACTGGAGAGGGTCACGTGTCCCTACACAGACGACCTAGATCAACTTAGGGAGTGTATTTAAACATCATGTTCCAAGAAACCCTAACCCTATCTGCACCAGTCCTCATTGGAGAAGAAGAAGAAGGGCGGTCGAAAAAGAAACTGATCACCGTCGCCGTTGCACCAGAGCCACCGCCAACGCCGGATAGGTACTTTTTTCTCCCTTCCTGCTTGGAATTCAATCCCGAATCTCCCTATATTCATATCAGAGCCGAAAGGCCAATGGGTGAAACTCGGGCAAGCCACCATTGCTGAAATCCAAAACCTTCTCCAATGACCCCCTTCCCACTTTCTGTTTCGCATAATTTTTTTACCATTGTGTTCTCTGTCCTTTTTTGGTACAGGTTAGTCAAATGAGAACCTCGACCGCAAAGGAGGTACGACAGAGATACCGTACCTAAAGACCCTCCTATCGGTAGGGTTTCGATTTTTGCCTTTTTTGGCCAATAGAGGCACCCTAACTTGGTTTTTTATAGGTTTCCATGTTAAACCGGCCAAAACTGGCCAAAATTGGCCTAAACTGATTGAAAATGGTCAGGTAGAGAGGAACCACTACCATGGGCGGCAGAGTCGGCATTGGAACAAGGCGGCACCACCATGCTAGAACCCTAAATTTGCCGAAAAAAATTTTAAAATACATATTTTGGCATTTTGGGGTATTTTTAGATACGTGACGGGTATTTTTTAATTTCCACAAAAAAAATTCAAGAAACATAGGGATCACCAAGAGACGCAGTAAAAAGTACGATATTTTGGACATCGATCCGAGGTAAGAATTCCTCACCCTTTTTTCTGTTATGGTAAATTGAAGCTTAATAATCAATAATATTGTGTTTTGTGAAAATTAAAAAACCCTAAAATTAATTACAAGTCACTAATGGAGTCGGAATAGGTTAATGTATATTTTTTCTAGTCTGTTGTTTATTTTCTCTTATACTACATAAAATGTTTATTGTTATATTGTGTGCTTTAAATTATTAACTTTAATTATTTTTTGGTTACTGAGTTTACCTAACTGCATTTGGATTCGTTTGCAATAGATGTCTTAATCATGTTCTCTTTATTTATGTGTTATTTAATTGCATGGCTTACTGTTGATTGGTTTACGTATTGTCTATTTGCATGACTTATTGTTGATTGGTAAAAAATGATGTTGGCATGTGACTGGTGATTGGCTAATGATGTAAATCTATATACGAAAGGTTTACCGAGTACCCTAAGAAAGGGTATACAGACTCGGTACATTGAAAAAACCCTACCATGGGCATTACTTTAATTGAACAAGGCTGAGAAGTCCCATACCGAAAGGAGTTGGGAGGTATAATTCACCCTCATACCGGACGGGGTATTAAGACGGTTGTATGTTTTAGCACCCATTATCGGACAGGATATAAGGACGGCCAGTTAATCAATAACTTGGATATTGGGCTCACGCGTAAGGGGGATCCCTATGGACCCCCATAGATAATGGTAAACAGGTAACAAAGGTAAGTTTCTATTCTTGCTCATTTGGATATAAAATCACAATATTATTTGAGTTATTATCTTCATAGGTCGATTTTAGAAACTCATACGGATAAGTATGGAATAAACGATTTTTATGTTAAATGAATTTATCTAAAGTAATAGTTCCATTGGTTGTTTTACAATTTTTTACCAATCTTCGATTTTCCGTATAAGTGATAAATGTAATATTCTTACTGAACTATTATACCTCATTCCTCTATTTAACTATTTCAGATAAAAAAGACTAAGATTTAGATATTGAACAGTAGAAGGATTGCAAATAAAGGTTATCTCCCGGACGCCATCAGAGTTGTCTAGCAGAGGTTAACCCCATAGAGTTTTTATCTCGTTTGTTTTAACCATTTATTTCATTACTATGAACTGTTATAAAAGAGATATTCTCGTAATCCTATTGAACATCCTAATTTACTGTGTAAGAAATATAAATTCTAGATTCTAAATTGTTTTCGCTTATAGTTGTTATAATTCAATATTTCTATTTCTTTTAGGTTTGAGCTTTAACAGTTTATTATCTCTAATTAAAAAAAAAAAACAATCCAGGCCGTATAACACCGATATTCAGCTCAAATGGTGGTCGGAAGGCTACAATTGGATGCTGCAATACCTGATAAACCGCTGTCATGCAAATTGCAACTGCTCTTTTTCAATTTAAAATAAATATTAATTAAAAATTACACTATATATTCCTTTATATCATTTTAATTATATTTTAAAATTAATTAATTATTTAAATTTTAAAAAATATTAAAAACAGCAAACGATCGTTTAAACTTGATGATTCTCGTACTCAATTATTTTGAACATAAAAGTAAACTTTAGTCCAACCCATCGTTACCCTTACCTATAATTTATCAACTCCGTTTTCTTGTGAATTTTTATGTTCATCTTATACATGTCCACTTATACTAAAATAACCATTGTTTCCTTTAAAATATTATTGATATATATATATATATATATATATATCATACGTTAGTTTAGAAGTATATATTTTAATGATTTTAATTAACGAAATTAATGAATTATGTAGTTATTAAAAATAAATAAATTTGTCCACAATTAACTATAGAAACTGAATCACTTTTTATTGAATATTAAATGTATTATCAAAACCGTCCGAACAAATATTTAGATTTTATATATAAATTGATTAAAACGATTCTAATAAAATAAATTACTTAAGTGAGGAAGCAACGGCGCCGTTTCGGAAGAGCGGTTCACCCTGTTTCAAAACAAAAAAAGTAGTGGAAGGATCTGGAGAAGACAAAAAAGGCAAACTAATAATTTCTATTCGTTGCACGATTTGTGGATTACACCAGTGATTTCAATCTCTGCACAACTGATCAACTATATTTGATCGGAAACACACATATTACATCACCTACAACGAGGGCGCTGTGTATTACATAAGACAAACCATAGCAAGCTAATTCCTCCTTTCACCCAACCCAAAAAGAAAAAAGAAAAGTTGTATCCTTTCTCCTTGCCATATCTATGGGTTTCGGAAAGGATTAAGTTTTTTTTTTTTTTTAAATTTTTTTCCCACTTGGATCTTCTCGGTTCTGCCATTAATATTCTTCTCTTCCTCAGAATCTAAGCAGCCGATGGGGCAGTCACGTATTGAACCTGTCCAGCTTCAGATAGAGCAGCTATGAATGGCTCCAAGTGAATATCTTCACCACCCAGCACTGGTTTATAGTCCAACGATTCATCGTTGTAAATATCCCACCATTTCTTGACCAGCATCTTTATATCTTCTCTTTGCATGTTCTCTTCCTTCCCCGTGTATCTCCATGGTTTTGACCCCTGTTCAACAACCACTGTCAATACAGACAGATTTACTACTCATTCATACGAAACTTCATGCAACAATTTTAAAAAACATTACTCACCGTTGCACAGTAGTGAACAACTTTGACCTTGTCCAGTTCCACCTTCTCTGGGTGCCGCCATAGCATTGCAAGAACAAGATTGTAAACCAGAGGTATCGGCTTGTATATATCCTTGAAGTACATGTTCAAAAAGTCCTGAATATTCACAAATACAACATTATTCAATCAGAAATCAAATACCCCGACTGAATAATGACTTATAAGGAAAAGTAATCATGTATCACTTCATTACCTGCTCTGCGAAAGGAGTAGTAGGAGTGACTTTGACGGTGCTTAAGAGATCTTGGTAAGTATAGAGACTTGGCTCGAACACAAACATCCCAGCGTTAAAGTAGAGCGCCGGGGGTTGACCCATCTCCTCCGGCCACCTCACCCTTTCAGGACATTGCTGGCAGTAACCAATCTTGTACTGAGGACTATGACTCCATGTCTTCTCGCAGAAACAATCCATTACAGCGTAGAAATATACGTCCGGCAAATCGAATAGATGGTCTATGTTATCAAACACCTGAATATCTCCGTCCAGGTATATCATTTTACTGTACTCCACGAACTGCAATTAAATAAGTAGTAAATCGATCTAATTAGCTCAACCCATCTACCCCTTCTCTTACGTGATACAAAGCAATTAAACATTGATACCAGTAATAAAAGATACCCAAATGACGATAATACCCTCTAATGAATCAACTAGGTACAAATATAGGCTAGGATATTTTCGTCCAAAAATAGAGGAGGTAGTGCCACCACGTGTGAAAACAAGAGATCCAGAATGCTCATACATACCTCCCATATACGGAGCTTAGAATAGTTAATAACATAATACGCCATAGCGAACTGTGTTTCGTTCTCGGGAGGGTAAACCGGTTGGATCTCCCGGACAATGCAACCTTGAGACTCTAGGATCCGCCTGTGCTCCTCCGGCACGTCGGGCAAAACCGCCACAACTAAAGGATACGAAGACTTTACCTTCCTTAATCCTTTCGCCAACCCGACGACGCCTTTCACGTAGTCTCCGTTACCGGCCAGAAATGTAACGTACGCACGGCTCGGCAACCTCGCAGTCTTAACGAAGGCAGCGGGCTTCACTGTGTTTTGGACAAGCTCTGGAGCCATCGTATCAGGTGAAATGCAAGTCAAGAGTAAGGTGTGATTTGGGAAGAATGGGAGGATTGAAGGGAGTATAGTATGTGCGTTGGTGCCTGGTTCTTCGCGTATTTGGTTAGTGAAGAAGAAGGGGGTGAAAGGGGTTTAAATAGGGGAGGAGGAGGAGAAATTTGATGCATTTTTCGGTCTCGTGTTTTCCGGTGATGGTGAACTGCTGGCCGTACGCGTGTCAATGGTTAAGATCCAACGGTTAAAAAGGGGTTCTGGGAAGTTTCTGGAAAGGAGGCAGCCATAACAGTAAACATCAACAGAAGCCACTAGAACGCTGTGAGCTGATTTTTATATGCTAATGTAACATATTTTTTAATGTTGATTATGATGGTACGTACGTATGTATGTATGTATGTATTCACGGGTCGCAAGTGTAGGAGTCGCTAAACTTGGTAGTAGAGAATCCAGTTTCATCTTCTGAGTAAAAAATAATTAATAATGATTTGATTAATACAAATTGTAGCGTCATAATTATGATTAGAAATAATAATGGTAAATTCTGGTGAAAGGTGACGTAAGTATCTTAGGAAAATCAAATTTCTTTTGTAAAAGCAATATTCTCGAAATCTCCTAACTTGTGAGAATCTAATACCATTTTCAATTTTCCACGACAACCTTAAATGTTACCTCTGGGACAAAGCTTAAAGCATTTGAGTTCCCAGAACAGGAAAAGCTTCAATCTCTCCCTTTTATTTTTCCTATTTAACCATCGTCACTACTACTCACTCCAGTATCAAGCTATACACATATATATATATATTTCTATCTATCTATTACATATATATATATATATATATATGCAGATGAATATTGAATAAAGCAGGTAAAAATATTTAATACAATATAATAGCAACTGTTCACTTAATGGATTCTAGGGTCCACGTGACTTTTCCTTTAGAAGAGAGAGAGAGTCAACAATCAATCAACTCGACACTTGTACATTGTACTTAGACTATTACAGTATAAAGACAATCTTGTGCGGGGGCCCAACTATGGGACAGGAATCAAGATGTCCTTTTTGGTAATTTTTTACTTTTTTTTTATTTTTTATTTTTCAATTCCTCTTTTGTGGCTCAAATGTTGGACATGTCATCTCCTCCCATTTTGCCACCTAATGGACACCGTCGCCAGTGGGACCCAGATGGAGCATTACGTAGCACCTTCTGGTTCCTCTCCCTCTGATTTTTTTAATTAGATAGAAAAAATATAGACACAAAAACACAAAATTAATCTGCAACCAGCTGGATTTGTCTCTTAGGGCCGTCTTACCAAAAAAAAAAAAAAGAAAATTGATCTGGAAAGAAAAGGGACCATATAGAATATTTACATTAAATAAATAAAATTTATTTATAATTTTCCATATCTTTTACTTTAAAAAAGATAGTTGGAAATATTTTTATAAATTATTACTGAGGTGCAAAAAGGTCCTTGACAAGCCCATTGGGCTCTGGCCCACTAACACCCAAGAAATGTTAGCCCGGTTGCTCCATTTGACACCTAAATCTGAAACGACATACGAAAATGCTCCATTCTTTGCTATTCCTGCAACCTTCGGAAAATTTTAGGACTATTCACTCTTTCGTTCATACTGTATCTTCGTCATGGATCTAGATCAGGTAATTTCGTGTGTTTCGCGTCTCAAATTTTTCATATCTCATTTGAGGATTCTTATTTTATGGAAAATCACTTGCGGTGCTAAGTATAGGACATAATTTTTTCTCAGTTCTTTCTGGAAATTTCTAGTAATCTGCATTACTGTTTAACATTTATATTCAAAAAGTTTGTCTCACATTTTGTTTAGATCTTCGTTGTTTAATATCATATCTGTGTTTGTATTGATGATTTTTAGTTTTCATTTGTGTTTTGGGTTTATGAATTTCGTTTACGTTAAAGCTTCCTTGATATTCCTAGATTTTGCAGCTTGTAAAACGATTGCTGATATTAAAATTAAAAAGAAGAATTCCTAACCAATATAATTAATTAATGAATTTGATCTCTTGTGGCATGTGGAGTTGACTGAGGGCATTGTAGAATTTGCTTGAATGGAAACTTAGAACTAGATCTTTCTCTCAACTTTTTAGCTTGCTGAATCAGGCGTTACTTTTGATGTAGTTGTCTTGTGAAGGATTTTACGGATGGGCCTTAGGACTTAGCGTGCAATGTTTCTTTGCCATTTAACAGAATTTTAATTTTAGGATTTGTGCGTGATTAATCATTTTGGATTCAAAATATTCTCCCAACCGCCCAATTCTAGCCTTCAAATTGAGAGATAAAAAAAGTTTACGTAGAAATCATGATTGCTGCACATGGAATCTGCATAATTATAATTGATAGTGCACCTTAAAGCAACTTGGCTTACATGATGGGGATTCATGGATATCAAGGTCATGGACTTGCAAAAATAAAAGACTTCGGAGAAAAGAATAAGGTCATATTAACTGATTAATGATAAGCAACTCTTTGTTTTCTTGTCATTGTTTAAACCATTGGAATGTAACATGCATTATGAGCTGTTGAGCATCTGCAATGTTTTTGATATAATCGGATTCTCTTCAACTTTGCTACAAGTTGTTAAAAGGCTTTCAGTTCTAGAGGGAAGCATTCCTCTGATTTTTCTGCAGCTAGTTTGATGTTTCTCCGATGCAATCAGCCAATTTTTGCAGCTTAAAATGTTTTATTTTCTTGAGAAGGAATTTGTGAGGTTATGTTTCTCATAAGTACAATCTAGGCCAACGACACTTCTATATTTTCCTTGCAAAAGATAATTTGACAGTTCAGCCATACCGTTGTTAGTTAAGAACTATAGATGAATGTTTTAGATGTGCCTTTTATATTATTTTAGCTATTTTTCTTTGCAGTAAGTTGGTATTTTATCTAATCTTTTACCTATTCTTTATGCAGCCTGTGGGAGAAAACTACACCAATCCAAAGACATGCTTCTTTCATGTTCTCTTCAAGGTCATTATACTCTGATACAGCTAACTATTGTTTGAAGAATCAACACGTTCTATAACTTGATTTTCAATGTTTGCAGGCTGCAGCATTGGCATTCTACATACTTTCGGCTCTATTTTTTGATAGCTTTGTTGTTATCTTTGTGGTCACTGTTGTTTTAGCTGCTTTTGATTTTTGGGTTGTAAAGAATGTTAGTGGCCGTATTTTAGTTGGGTATAGGTGGTGGAATGAAATAAATGAGCTGGGTGAAAGTGTGTGGAAGTTTGAATCCCTTGACCAACAGGTTAGTCATTTTAAATATGCCTCTTGATTTTCAATCTCAGCTCCATTATATATTTATTGAATCCTATCATTTTTGTATCCCTGATAATGCAACTTCGTGGTTATAGAAAATTCTAGATAATGCCCTTAAATGGATCTCATGTATTTTGTCTTTGTTTCTCCTTGCAGTCATTGGCTCGCATAAACAAGAAAGATTCATGGCTATTTTGGTGGACATTGTATCTAACTGTAAGTAAATTTTCGTTGGATATTTCTTAGGATGAAGCAAGCCTAAGTTTTGGTACACAAATTTAATTCTTACTGAGGAAACCGAAATTAAAAAGTATAGGAAGATGCTCAGACTTTGATGTTGCTTTTTTGATTGGTTCTAATATTTTAGTTGGCATGTTCTCTATTATTTGGGAGAGATGGATGCTAGTTTCGCTGCCTGAAATTTTATATCCTGCCTTTATGTTTTCTGCTGAAATATGACTTATAAACAGAAAACAATGACTAACTTCACTTAATAACAGAACAGGTATGCTGATCAGAATGTTAGGTGACATGGAAGTTATTAAGGATTAGTATCTGGCAAGTAGAAAATATAAGATATGGGTTGACTTTTACCAGGAAGTAACTGGGCTGATGGAACCAAAAAGCTGGTGTTTCACGGATCTACTTGTTAAAATTCTAAAACATCCATCCTATAAGAACACCTATAAAGTCATAAATGACCTGAAGTATTCTAAATCTGTTACTGTTTGTTTAGAAATTTGCCAGTGATCCGCTAGTGACAGGAATAGATGGTATCTTGGGATTCATCAGTTTAGGGAAAGTGATGTAGAGGAGGTTTAGTTAGTTTTTCTATAAAGATAAGGAACTATATTTCATTCAAACTAAAAAGTGCAAATTTTGTTTTATTTAACTTATATTTTAGTAATTCCCTTGAATTTTTTTATAATAGGATATTAGGAGTATTATTATAGTAGTATTAGGGTTTTGTGGTGTTTTTGGTTCTATTTGCTTTCCAAATCCTATGGATGAAGGTTATACTAGTATATTATTCACAAGAATCACATTCATAGGATTTGATAATTAAATAGAACCCTCATCCATAGGATGAATACATTTTTTAGGATAAGGGTAAAGGTAAGCTTAATATTGCCCTTACCTGCAATAGTATTGGAAGAACCATGGTGACAATCCTTTTATTACTTGGACATGCACATACTTATAAAAATGTTTAAAAATATTGATCATATGATTTTTGGCTTCTAAGTGTATGATCTAAAAATTTTCAAAAGCTAGTATTTAGTTCATGTGATGTAGAAGTTGTACTTGAGTGTGCCGCTAAATTGGTACAGTGTATTTCTCCAGGAACTCAAGTCGATTCCTTAGGTTTTTAATCTCCACTTCGAATTCCCTAAGATTTGAAGTTGTCATGTTGAGATTTGCTTCAATAATTTAGGATGTTACCTCTTATATTCTTTATGAATTGTATGCTAATTAATGTTGAAAAGGTAAAATTATTTAAGGATTTTACTTGGAACACATAGCTGTACAAGGAAAAGACTGATTTTGCACTGAGTCATTGAGTCATGTCAGACCAGGAACTCACTGAGTCAACTCATTGAATCAGCTCGAGTCAGGAACTCACTGAACCAACTTGTGGATTCCTTACTTGATTTGGCTCAGCTTGGGTCTGGACAGAAGGTACGAGTGCTTAGAGGGCAGAGGCACGAGCACAAGGGCTTGACAAACAAATCAGCAGCCGGCATGCATGTCTGTGCACAGACAGTCGCTACAAAGATGAGCTAGGGTTTTGGCAAGTGTGTCTGGTGTTTATGTTTGCATTTGCGTCTGGATTGCACTCTGAATGGTGTCACATATGATAAACTAGGATTGTGGCATAGAGCAACGTCATGATTGGTGGTGCGGCTCGTTTAGTTCATTGTGGTTCCAGACCAAACACTATGGTTGCGTCTGGTGCAATCAAGTGTTTCGTGTCCAGAGTCGCTCGCGTCTGGTCGCGATGAAGGCAACCGAGAGTACTTTGTGTGGTTGAAGTACGACAAAGAGTTATGCGATGGCTGCATGGTTGAAGTGCGACATAGAGTTGTGCGGTGAATAAGGTCAGCTATGAAGACTGAATAGGGTTTTGGCAACTGACAAAGGATTCTAGTGATAGAGATGAGGTTGCGGTAGATTAGGGTTTTAACGCTGGTGATAAAGACCGACTTGGCTGCTGTTGGTGGTTGACAGTAGTGGTGGTAGCCAATCTATGGTGGTAAGCTATGAAGGTAAAACTCACCTTTTTTAGGGTTTTTTCTTTTTTTTTTTCAAACAATGAAAACCGAAGAGGATTTGTAACTGAGATTAAGGTTTTTTTACCTAGACTCTAATATCGTGTCAAGAATAGTTTATATACTTTATTGAATATTACAGTTTTATATATACAGATTCTTTAGAATGAAAAATGAAATAGACTATTAATTATATTAATTAGAAATGGTCTAATTTACTCTTGTACCTTTTAACCTAACTTATTATATCTTTAACAATAATCAATAAATACATTCATATAATTTTCTCAATAGATTTGTTTTAGATGATAGTATGATGCAATCATGATTGCATGATGTAATACTAGGTGATTTTGATTTAATTATTTGGTTTAATGTTTAAAGTCATTGATATGATATCTAGGTTTCAACTTCTAGTTTCTAGGTTTGCAGATGTTTCTTAACTTGTCCTAGTCAGAAAGGCATGTCTATGTGTAATAGGCCTTGTTGACAGTATGAGCATAAGGGAATAGCAATGGGAAATTTTGGTTGATAAATGTGGGAACTGACTTCTGCACATATAATACAAGTGATAAACAGAACAAGAGAACCTGTAACCATCTAAATGTTTTGGATGGAGATCTAAGGATAATACGAATGTAGTATATGGGATACTATGTTAGGAAGCTGTAAATTTTGTTACCCATAAGATGTTGAAATATGAAGAAAAAGATTTTTTGTTAGTTTTCGAGGATAAGACAGATTATACTATGTTATTGTAAAGAATTAGGAAAAATACTAAATATTTTTTATATTTTATTGAAATAAAAGTAGAGATATATATACATGTGAACGGGTTCATATATGGTAACGAACATAAATTACCATAATAATTTTTTTCCTAATTACGCTTACATATTTGGAAGATAATCATATTATTATGTACATAAAATATTTTATAATATTCTAACACTCCCCTTCAAGCTGAAACATAGATATTAGTCATGCCCAGTTTGTTTCAAATATACTCAATTCGTATTTCATTCAGAGGATTTGTGAAGATATCACCAAGTTCTCATGTCTTCACATAATCAGTAAATATAAAGTTTTTATGAATCTTCTCTCGGATGAAATGACAATCAATCTCGATATATTTAGTTCTTTCATGATACACAGGATTTGAGACAATATAAATGGTAGTTTGATTATCGCACTAGAGGTTTTTAGGAGATATGAGATTAAATCTCACTTCATCTAAAAGATGATATATCAATAAGAATTCACATGTGAACTGGGGTATAGCTATATATTCAAACTCTGCGCTTGAGTAAGATACAACTGTTTGCTTTTTACTTTTCTATGATACGAGATTCCTACCAATAAAAATACAATAACCTGTAGTAGACCTCCTATCAATCCTAAATACAGCCCAATCAGCATCTGTAAAACATTTAATGTTAGAAGGTCCGTGATTTTTAAACATTATGTCGAGTCACAAAACACTTTTTAAGTAGCACAGAATCTGTTCTAAAACCTCCCAATATTAAATTATAGGTGCAGATATAAATTGACTTACAATACTGATAGGATATGCAATATATGAATGAGTCATAGTGAGGTAATTTAATTTCCTAATTAGTCGCCTGTATTTTTCTGGATTATTAAGGGGATTACCATCATCTTTTGTAAGATGTACATTTGGTATCATAGGCGTATTGCACGGCTAAGCTTCCAACTTTTCTGTTTTTATAAGTAGATGAAGTACATACTTTTTCTGAGATAATAAAATTTTTTCCTTACTTCTTATTACTTTAATCCCAAAGAAATAGTTTAGCTGTTCAAAGTTTTTGGTATTGAATTTGATATGCAAGAATGACTTGAGAGAGGATATTCCTGCATGATCATCTCCTCTAATCACAATATCATTAATATAAACAATAAAAAGTATAATACTAGCTTTTGATTGTTTATAGAAGATTAAATGATTGCACTTGCTTTTCTTCAATTTGAATTCACAAACTACCTCACCAAACTTGCTAAACTACGCACGGGGACTCTGCTTCAGACCATACAAATATTTCTTCAAATGACAAACTTTCTTATATTGTCCCTGTGCAACAAACTCAAATGGTTGCTCTATATACACTTCTTCTAAGAGATCACTATGAAAAAATGCATTTTTAATGTCTAACTGGTGTAAGGGATAGTCTGTAGAACTTGCAATAGATATGAATAAACGGACAGATGTAAGTTTAACCACTTGAGAGAATGTATCAAAATAGTCCATTTTATAAATCTGAGCATAACTTTTTGCTACCAATCGAGTTTTAAGTCTCGCCACAGAGCTATCTGGATTCATTTCGACTGCAAATACCTATTTGCACCTTGCAACATTTTTTCCTTTGGATAAATCTAGCAGATCCCAGGTATGATTATTATTAAGAGGATTTATCTCCTCAAGCAAGACATTATGCTAAGCAGGGTGATTAAGAGTCTCCTTAATTGTCTTGAGTATAGAAGTGGAATGTATAAAGATAATTAAAGAGTTAGACGAAGAAGACAAATGATCATGGGTACCTTTAGAAAGACTGATGGAAAGATCAAGATCATGGAAGATGAGGAAAAAGTTGGTGCAAGACATGTATCATTAGTCTGTTGTGTTCTGAAGAAAACATGAATAATGGGCGGTTGTTTTTGAGTTGGAGGCACACCATCATCAGTTTGCTCAAAAGGCACATCAGAAGAAATATCATTATCTGGTTGCTCCATAGAGGTACTGTCCTGGAATCTATAAATGAGTCACTCATCGTTCTTCACCTGATCTGTAGAATTAGACTGTGAGGAAAAAAATGGTATATTCTCTGAAAAGATTGCATCAGTTGATACTAGATATTTATTGAAATCTGAAGAGTAATACTGATATCCCTTTTGTAGGCGAGAATTTCTCAAAAAGACACACTTCAAGACTTTGGGATCCAACTTAGTAATATTGGGTCGTATAGCTCGAACATAATAAGTACTATTAAATATTCACGGCTGTACCAGAAACAATGACTTGTTTGGAAAAAGATTGTAAAGAATATCACATTAGAGTACTGCAAATGGTATACGATTAATCATAAAACAGACAGTAAATATAGTATCAGCCCAGAATTGCTTTAGGAACTTGTGTTTGAAATAAAGAGGGATCAAGTAGTCTTAAGTAAATGTTTGTTCTTTCTCTCAATAATCTCGTTTTGATATGGAGTATCAATACAAGAACACCGATGAAGAATCCCATGTTGAGTTATATAATTGTGAAATGAATATGATATATATTATTTAGCATTATCACTTCTTAACACATGCACATAGACATTAAAGTGAGCTTTGATTTTCGCATAAAAAATACAAAAATGAACGAACACTTCAAAACGATTTTTCATAAAATATATTAAAGTCATTCAAGAAAAATCATCAATAAAAGTAAGAAAATACTTAAATCCTATTTTAGACATAATAGAACATGAAATTCAAATATCAGAATAAATTAATTTAAAAGCAAACTCAACTCGTTTATTAATTTTCGGACTTGATGTGATATGATGATATTTTACAAATTGACATGACTCACAATCTAATGAAGATATATCATGAAACTGATTACACAACTTCTTCAACACAGTGAGAGATGGATGCCCCAACTGACAATGTGTTTCAATTAGAGAGACAACTGATCGGGACACCCAACTATCAAGAATGTAGAGACTTTGTAATATATGTCATTTACTAATAATCTGATTCGTCATAAGATCCTGAAAAAGACAATGATTAGGAATGAATGAGATACAACAATTAAGATATTTGTAAATGTACTTATAGAAATCAAATTGAAAATAAGTTTGGGTAAACGTAAAATAGAGGTCAGATTAATGGCAGGAGTTAGTTTTATAGTCGCAGAACCCTCAATATTATAAGTTGACCCATCAACAATAGTTACAGGAGAGGGAACTCTGTGTGATCGAAAGTTAGAAAAGATATTAGGGTTACCTGTCATGTGATCTGTAGCACCAGAATCAACCACTCATTTGTTTGATGAGGAGATAAAACATTTTTTACCTGATTCAGCATAAATAGTGACTGATGTGCATTCTTTTAAAGATTTTTGAAACTGAGAGAACCTTACATACTCGTTGGTTGAAACCATAATAGTTATCTCAAAAGAGGAATTAATAGTAGTAACAGTAGTAATATTCGCAGTTTATGTTTTCTGATTCCGATCCTGTAATTTCTTGCATTGATGCTTCGTATGTTCTTGTTCATGACAATAATAACAAACAGTGTTGCTTGAATCATTATACCGACTATCCATTGCTTTGTTTCCTTCCCTGTTATTATTTCTTCCTCCTCTAGCAACAAAAACATGAAGATGCTGATTGGATGTAGTATTCTTTATGCGTAACACCCTACTGAAAATTTTCTGAATAGATGTGATCTCCGAAGCAGATAAAATTTGAGATTTGACAGTCTCAAATTCAAGTGGAAGACCAGCCAAGAAGCTCATTATAGCCATATGCTCTATTTGTATTTGTTGTACCTTGATGTTAGTACTAAACGCAAAAATACATTAAGCTCCTCATAAGTTTTTTTGTGAATTTCATAAAGTAAGCTGTGAGAGATTTGACCTCCTTCTCAGCATGATAGAAGGCCTTACAAACATCATACATACGGGACATAAATTCTAAACAATCCATCAATTCGTTGGCAAACACGCAGTGATTAATTAAGTCAATTACTTCACTGTCATTTGAGTTTCTAATCTATAAAAACAACCGTGTATCATCTCTTAGTTAGATTTGTTTAGTTCTATCGATAGGGGAATCTTGAGCCAAATGTCATCTTTATCAATACTGCGTAGATAAATTCTGATAGTTTTGCTCAACTTCAGATAATTGGTGTCATTTAATTTATGTTCAGTGATCTTTGATATGGTTAGGACTATCTCACTTCACACACGGAAACTAATAGAAGCACATTGCCATCACAGGAGACTGATCGCCGCTGCACGTGCCGCTGCTGCAACACCACACATCGCCGCTGAATTCACCAAAATGCCTCCATTCGACCGGAAATCACCACAAAACCTACCGAACAACCGAAATGCAGAAAGGGCTTGCAAAAAACACCTCAAATCGCAGCGGAAAATCGAAAGAAAACTTGTCGCGTGATATGCTCCGCTGTGACTTCCTCTGCTCCGGCCTTCTGGAATTTTGCTTAGAACAGACGGCCAAGCGCCTCTTCGTGTTCTGACCTCATGTCGAACTCGTCCCGCACGCGAACCGGCCTCCTCCGGGTCATCCAATGCTTGAGGACTCGAAATTGCCGCAAACAGTTTTGTCGGCCTCTTCTGGTTTCACCGTCGTGCCACCGTGATCTGAACTTGTCGGAGGATGGTGGTTGACTTCTTTTGGTGTCGAGAATGGGTTATATCAACTCCTATATGGTCTGATCTAATCTGATCTCTAAAGCTTTTAACTCTGGCTCTGATACTATGTGAAGAATTAAGAAAAAATATTAAATATTTTTTATATTTTATTGAAATAAAAATAAAGATATCTATACATATAAACGGATTTATATATGGTAACGAACATAAATTATTTTAATAATTTTCTTTCTAATTATGCTTACATATTTGAAAAGAAAATCATATTATGTACAGAAAATATTTTATAATATTTTAACAATTACATTAAGTAAGACAAACGGATCATCTGGTATACTATCTTACATTAGGAAGCTGTAAATTTGTTACCAAAAGGATGCAGAAAAATGAGTAAAAGGACTTTCTACTGGTTTCATCCGACTTATTGTAATAAGGAATATAGCATTATTACATTTCTTCATTCTGGACCATGTTACAACATAGTTTTTTTTTTTTTGAGATAAATGTTACAACCAAGTTATTAGTTGCTGGTAGTAGATATGCATGAATGCCATGGATAAGTTATGTTCATACTTGGTATGATTGAAACTGTATTTCCTTTAATTTATTTCTAACTATTGTGCAGGCTGCTGCTTGGATAATCTTTGGAATCTTTTCAATCATCAGGTTTGAGCCTGATTATCTCCTAGCAGTGGGAGTTTGCTTGAGCCTTAGCCTTGCCAACATTGTTGGATTCACCAAATGTCGTAAAGGTATGGATTGATGACTTATATTAAGTTCCAAAATGCTGGGTTATAATATCACTTATGCCATTTAAGATCTTTGACTGGATATTGTCCTGACTTATGAGCCAGTGGCATATCAATATTTGATGAATTATCTAACAAAATGCCTGGTGCAAATATGCTTTGTCTGAAAAGTTTTGACTAAATTCTGCTTGCTGCTCGGCTGACTGTGCCACTATTATGAGAAGTTGACACTGGCTGAGGATTTTTTTAACTACTGGCTTCTTTAAAATAAGAAGAGACGTTTAATTCTTAATATGGTTGTCTTTAATTGGTGCATGCTGTTCCTATGTGAAACTGGTTTAGTAGAATCCTATATATGATTTTGTCCTTTATCCAATTATGCTGGTCTATACTTGTAAGATTCAGCAGATTTTGCCTATTTGTGGCTGTTTCCCCCATCCTCCAAAAATTCTCAACAGGTACAACTGTCATAGGTCAGGTACTCTCTTTTTATGACCT